TGAGTAGCAAGGTTCTAGATGTTAGTTTGAGACTTTGCAAAGGTCTGTCCTTCCAAATTTGTCATTTCTCTATCACCTTTGTCTCGATTTAATATAATCAAGCAAATTGCCTTATGGGTTAGTGCTATTTGGGACATGTTTAAAAAGTCCTTTGTCATATCTGGGCCACAGTGATCTTCTCTGTTTTTCTCTACTAACTTTTTTTGTTTTAAAGATTTATTTATTTGGGAGAGAGAGAGTGTGTGAGCAGGGGGAGGGCAGAAGGAGAGGGAGAGAGAGAATCTCAAGCAGACTCTCTCAACTGAGCATGGACCCTGATGCGGGGCTCGATTCCAGGACCCTGATCATGACTTGAGCTGAAGTCCAGAGTTGGCTGCTTAACTGACTGAGCCATCCAGGTGCCCCTCTCTACTAACTTTATACTTTTATTTCACACTTAAGGATTTAATCCATCTTAAGTCACCTCTGTATTGGGTATAAATCAGGTAACCAATTTTATTTTTCCCCTTGTAGTGAGCTAGTTTTCCCAGACCAAATAGTTCATTGTTTCTCCATTGATTTGTGGTGCTACCTTCATCTTATTTCCAGTTCCCAGATACACTCTGCTTTCTCTTCTATTCCTTTGGTTCAGATTTCTGTTCCTATAATAGTATCATACTGTTTTTATCTTTATAGCTTTGAAATATGTTTTAATATCTGGAAGTGTCACTCTTCCACCTTAGTTTTTATTTTTTATTTTATTTTATTTTTTTGTGTGTTTCTTTTTTATTGTTATGTTAATCACCATACATTACATCATTAGTTTTTGATGTAGTGTTCCATGATTCATTGTTTGTGCATAACACCCAGTGCTCTACGCAGAATGTGCCCTCTTTAATACCCATCACCAGGCTAACCCATCCCCCTACCCCCCCCACCTTAGTTTCTAAAATTTGATTTAGCTCTTTGTGAATCTTTATCCTTTTAGGTAAATTTTATGGTTTTTTTTTTTAAGATTTTATTTATTTGAGAGATAGCGAGAGAGAACATGAGTGGGATGCGGGGATCGATCCCAGGACCCTGGGATCATGACCTGGGCCGAAGGCAGATGCTTAACCGACTGAGCCACCCAGGCACTTTTAGTAAGTTTTGGAATAGATTTGTTTAGTCCCTAAAAAATATCTGACTGAAATTTGGAATGGAATTGCATTGACTTTTTAGATTAATTTGGGGAAGTATTGCTATTGATATTTTTACAATGTTAAGTTGTCTTATTTGTGAGTAGGGATATATTGCCGTTTATTCAGCTCTTTCATGTTTTTAAATAGATTTTAAAGTTTTTCTCCATAAAGTCTTGTGGATCATTCTTAGTTATGTTAATTATAAGTACTTTACTGTTTCTGTTGCCTTTGAAAGCACTATTTTATTTCTGTTATATTTCCTGGTGGATTATTTTGATACAGAGAGATGTCAGTAATTTTTGTTAGCTGATCTCGTTCCTCACAATCTTGCAGACCTTTCTTATTTGCTTGTCCGTTGCTTTGGTTAGTTTTTCTGTGTAGATTATTATATGCAAAGAATGATACTTCTGTTTTCTTTCATTCTTTGCTTTTTTCAATTTTAATTTTTTGCATTTATTATTTATTTTATTAAATATCAGGAGACTTTGCTTTTTCAGCAGTTTTAGGTTTACAGAAAAATTGAATAGAAAGTATAGAGCATTCTCCTACCTATATTCCTTCTCCCACCTCCAGTTTCCACTAGTTAAACATCTTTTTTTTTTTTTAAGATTTTATTTATTTATTTGAGAGGGAAAGGGAGAAGGAGAGTACAGAGGGAGAGTGAGAGGGAGAAGAGGCTCCTCGTAGAGCAGGGAGCCTGATGCAGGACTCGATCCCGGGATCCTGGGATCATGACCTGAGCCGAAGGCAGACGCTTAACCTACTGAGCCACCTGAGAACCCCTCCACTGGTGTTAACATCTTGCTTTGGTGTGGTACATATGCTACAATTGATAAACCAGTATTGATACATTATTATTAACTGAAGTCCATAGTTTACATTAGGGCTCACTCTTTGTGCTGTACAGTTCTATAAGTTTTGCCGAGACAAATGTATAATGTCATGTGTCCATCATTATAGTATCATACAGAATAGCTAAAGTATTCCCTGGGCTCCACGTATTCACCCCTGCTCCCTACCCCAACCCCTGACAGCCACTGATCTTCTTACTGTCTCTATAGTTGTGACTTTTCCAGAATGTCATATAGTTGGAATCATATAGTATGTACCCTTTTCCGACTGGCTTTTTTACTTAACAGTCTGCACTTAAGATTGTCCCATGTCTTTTCGTGGCTTGATAGCTCATTTCTTCTTATCACGGAATAATATTCCATTGCCCGGAGGTACCACAGTTTGTTTACTCATTCACCTACTGAAGGACATCTCTGCTGCTTCCGAGTTTTGACAATTGTGAATAAAGGTGCTATAAACATTTGTGTGGACCTAAGTTTTCAGTGTATTACCTAGGAATGTAATTGCTGCATCACATGGTAAGATTATGTTTAGCCTTGTGGGAAACTACCAAATTGTCCTCCGAAGTGGTTGTACCATTTTGTATTCCCACCAGCAATGAATAAAAAGTTCCTGTTGCTCTGTATCCTTGCCAGCATCCACTGTTGTCCATGTTCTGAATTTTAGCTATTCTGAGAGGTGTGTGGTGGTATCTTGTTTTTGTGTGCATTGCTTTAATGACGTATGATGTTGAACATCTTTTTGTGAGCTTTTTTGCCATCTGTCTGTCTTTATGGATGAGGTGTCTGTTCAGATTTTTTGCTGCTTTTTTAATTGGGTTGTTTGTTTTCTTATTGTTGAGTTTTTTTTAAATAAAGATTTTATTTTTAAGTCATCTCCACACCCAACATGGGGCTTGAACTTACAACCCCGAGATCAAGAGTTGCACACTCCACTGACTGAGCTAGTCAGGCACCTGATCTTATTGTTGAGTTTTTGTTTTTGTTTTGTTTTGTTTTTTAAGATTTTATTTATTTGACAGAGAGAGCACAAGTAGCCAGAGCAACAGGCAGAGGGAGAGGGAGAAGCAGGCTCCCCACTGAGCGCGGAGCCCGACATGGGGCTCGATCCCAGGACCCTGGGATCATGACCTGAGCTGAAGGCGGACGCTTAACTGGCTGAGCCATCCAGGTGCCCCTTATTGTTGAATTTTAAGAATTCTTTATATATTTTAGATAAAAGTTCTTTTTTTTTTTAAGATTTTATTTATTTATTTGACAGAGAGAGACACAGCGAGAGAGGGAACACAAGCAGGGGGAGAGGGAGAGGGAGAAGCGGGCTCCCTGCAGAGCAGGGAGCCCGATGCGGGGCTTGATCCCAGGACCCTGAGACTGTGACCTGAGCCAAAGGCAGACGCTTAACGACTGAGCCACACACGTGCCCCTAGATACAAGTTCTTTATGAGACATGCATCTTACAAAGATTTTTTCCCAGGCTGTGGCTTGTCTTTTCATTCTCCTGAGTGTTTTTTGCAGAGCAGAGGTTTATAATTTTATGATGCCCAACTTACCAGTTTTTTGTTTTATGGATCATGCTTTGGTGCTCACTGCCAGATCCAAGGTGATGTGGATTTTTTTTTTCCTGTTTTCTTCTGAAAGTTTTATAGTTTTGCCTTTCACATATAGGTGTAAGATTGATTTTGAGTTAACTTTTGTGAAAGATATAGGGACAATGTGTTGATTCATTTCTTTTGCATGTGGACGTCCAGTAGTTCTAGCACCATTTCTTCAAAAAACTATCCTTTCTCCATTGAATTCGCTTTGCTCCTTTGTTAAGGATCAGCTGCCTCTACTTGTGTGGGTCTATTTTTGGTCTCTAATCTGTTCCATTGATCTGTTTATCTATTCTTTTGCTGGTATCACACTGTCTTGATTACTGTGGCTGCTTCTTAATTTATGTTTTATAACCTTCTACTTCTAAAAAAATAGGATTTGAGATAGATTGCAATTTCGGTTACGCTGGAAACAGGACAATTTTAATAAAAAGATAAAAATTGTAAAATATTAAACTATTGATTCTTCTGGCAGTGGCTATATCCCTTCAAAAACTAGAACACAGAGAAATATTACGATAGAGTATGGACAGGCCTGAGGACTTCTTTTCTTTTTTTTTTTTTAATTTTTTTATTGTTATGTTAACCACCGTACATTACATCATTAGTTCTTGATGCAGTGTTCCATGATTCATTGTTTGTGCACAACACCCAGTGCTCCACGCAGAACGTGCCCTCTTTAATACCCATCACCAGGCTAACCCATCCCCCCACCCTCCTCCCCTCTAGAACCCTCAGTTTGTTTTTCAGAGTCCATCGTCTCTCATGGTTCGTCTCCCCCTCCGACTTACTCCCCTTCATTCTTCCCCTCCTGCTATTTTCTTCTTCTTCTTCTTTTTTTTTCTTAACATATATTGCATTATTTGTTTCAGAAGTACAGATCCGTGATTCCTCAGTCTTGTACAATTCACAGTGCTCACCATAGCACATACCCTCCCCGATGTCTATCACCCAGCCACCCAATCCCTCCCACCCCCCACCACTCCAGCAACCCTCAGTTTGTTTCCTGAGATTAAGAATTCCTCATATCAGTGAGATCATATGATACATGTCTTTCTCTGACTGACTTATTTCACTCAGCATAACACCCTCCAGTTCCATCCACGTCGTTGCAAATAGGCCTGAGGACTTCTTCCCTGCTCTCATTTATCTGACAACGTTGAAAACTATACCTTAGACAGAAAAATTCCGAGGTTGGGTTATTCTTAAATATTATTTTTTTTCCTTTGAGTTTGTGGTGATTAATTATTTAGTTAGTATGGCATAGTTAGCTGCGTATAGTTCATTGGAGACACATCTTAATATTTTAGCTATTTTAAGACTCCAACTACCAACAATTGTTCGTTGAAATACACAAGTGTGACCACATTTTTTTTTTTTTTTTGGAATTTTTTTAGGTCAATGATGCCTTCCTTCATGTGATACAGCGCAAATCCACGGGCAAGGTGCTTATCTCCCTTAAATAAATCCTCACCTCAGCAGCCAACTCAGCTTGTCCAAAGCCAAACTCATCATCTTTCCAAAAAACCTCATTTCCCTCCTGTGTTTCTAAAGGTGTTACCACTTTCCTTATTAATCCAGGTTCACAGTCTTTTAAAAGAGTCACCTTTGATTCTGTTTTCTTATTCCTCATAATTAGTGTGACATATACTTTATTGCCCTAACTTGGACATATTTGAGAGTGAAAGGATGCTGTTAGTAGTTAAACCAGGAAGGCAGGTGTCCCAGGCAAAGCGGGATGTATGGTCATCCTGTTCATAATGCATTAGTGGCCAGGTTCTGTCATCCCCACCTCTAAGATATCTCTGACCTCCATACCCTCTTTTCCGTTCTGCCTAATTATGTCTCATCTGCTAATTCCAGTAATTTCCTAACTGGCTTTCCCACCTTTAAACTACCCCCACCCCTCCATCCTTGTGATGCACTGTTCCCATGGTGACCTTCCCAAAGCACAGCTGTAACTGTGTTTGACTCAAAACCCACAATGGCTGCCCATTGTCTAGTTGGTGGAGTTCAGACTCTTCGAGCTAGCATTTCTTTATGTCCTTGATTTTGCCCCGCTCTGCTTTGCAACCTTATGTTACATGCCGGAGCCCCTCTGTATGCACTTACATTTTCGGCCAACCCTCCTCTGCTCTGCGCAAACAGTTTCCTCTACTCCCTTATCTCTGTCAAACATAAGCCCTCCTAACCTCCAAGACTGACCTCTGCCGTGAGCTTGTGGCCTGAGGAGGGTGGTCATTTCTTCCCTTCCACCTTCCTATAGCTCTCCCCCCAGGATTTGTCACATTCTGCCTTGCACCAAAGGGAGCAGCTGGTCCCTAGAATGAACACAAGATTCTGCATCTACGATGTGGGTTTGAATCCCAGTCTCACCTCACTTTGGAGGTGGTTACTGAAGGTCCTTGAGACTTCCTTTTCTCCCTGTAAAGTGGATGTTACAATATCTTCCTCTAATGTTGCCTTGAGCAATACGTGCAGTGATTGGGCAAAGTACCTGGTGCATGGTAAGCTATTAGCAAATGCTAGTCACTTTTACTTCTTTCTTTCCTCCTTTCCCAGTATAGCGTAAGTTCCTCGAGAGCAGGTGCCATGTCTGATTCACCTTTGTACCTCCCACAATACCTAGCACAGTGAGTTACCCTTATTAAATACTCAACAAATGGAATTGATTTTAAATTATCTGCAAGTCTAAATTGTGGGAGTAAGTTAAGAATATGTTACCTTGGTAACCACCCAAATGTCCATCAACAGATGAATAGGTATACAGAATGTGGTATATCCAAACAATGGAATATTTTCCGGTCTTAAAAAGGAAGGATGTTCCGACACGTGCTACAACATGGATGAACCCTGGAGACACTATGCAAAGTGACATAAGCTAATCACAAAAAGACAAAGATGATATGATTCCACTTACAGGAGCTACTGAGAGGGGTCAAATTCATAGAGGTAGAAAGTAGAATGGTGGTTGCCAGGGACTGGGGGAGGACACACTGGGGAGTTACTGTTTAGTGAGAACAGAGTTTTAGTTTGGGAAGATGAAAAAGTTTTTTTTTTTTTTTTTTAAAGATTATTTATTTATTTGACAGAGACCCAGCGAGAGAGGGAACACAAGCAGGGGGAGTGGGAGAGGGAGAAGCAGGCTTCCCGCGGAGCAGGGAGCGGGATGCGGGGCTCTCTCCCAGGACCCTGGGATCACGACCTGAGCCGAAGGCAGACACTTAATGACTGAGCCACCAGGCGCCCCAATGAAAAAGTTTTTGAGGTGGAGGGTGGTGATGGTTGCATGACAATGCGAATGTACTTAATGTCACTGAACTGTCCATTTAAAAATGGTTAAAATGGTCAGAAAAAAAAAGATTTTATTTATTTGAGAGAGAGAGAGAGAGTACAAGCTAGGGAGAGAGGCAGGGGGAGAGGATGAAGCAGGCTCTCTGCTGAGCAGGGAGCCCGATGCGGGGCTCGATCCCAGGACCCCAGGATCATGGTCTGAGCCGAAGGCACACGCCTAACCAACTGAGCCACCCAGGTGCCGCTAAAGTGGTCATTTTTTATGTTACATGTATTTTACCACAATAAAAAATGTTTAAAAAAAAGCACAACATATTACCCTCACATCTAAGTGAATCCATTAGGAGAAGAGAACAGAGAGTGTGAGTAGAGTGCCCAGCGCAGGTTGAAATAAGCTCCGGTCTCCGCCTGCAGTCTCTGGTCTGCAGGGCGAAGCCCTCTATATTTCTTAGTGCTGAGCTCTGTTCTCTACTCCTCCTGCTCCAGGAGTGATAATCCCCCGAAAGGAGAGTGGTGGGGCGGTGAGAAAACAGCTGACTCCACAGGGATTGGGGGTACCTTATTCTTGATGAAGTCTTCTTCCAATAAATGTGGTAAGAGGCTTTGTTTTCTGCTAAGTACCTCAGGCCATTTGGAAACACCAATCTTCTCAGGATCTCCTCACCAAAAAAGCTTTTGGAAAAATTGAATTGTAAAATAGGAAGCAAACATTTGGGGAAAGAATTTGAAACCGAGAAAGTAGCAGAAGGAGGGGGAGGGGGAACCACCCTTGTGACTGTTGTGGGCCCACGTGGTGCTTCCGTGAGGCTCAGAGCCCACGCTGCGCCTCTTCCATGCCTTCTGGGAGCTGCCTGCCCTGAGGTTCCATTTAATGGTCTGCCTCTCCTTACCTGCTCCCCCCACCCCCCCAAATTACTTCTTCTTAAAATGAGCTATTGTGTATTTAAATGAAAGTTGGTTTTCAAAAATATCAAGACACCAACTCTGAGGCTAATTTAAGAATTTCCTGACACCCTGTGGGATAACTGAAGACAAGCTGGGCAGATCCCAGGAGAGATTGGGAAAGGTGCACAAGCCCAGCTGGGAGCCCCCTTTCCCTCTGTTCAGAGCGGATCAGTAGGTATACTAGCCATAAAGATCTATTGTCCTCAGCTCACTAATGTCAAAAATGACTTAGATTGAAAGAGGCAGTCATTAAGGAGAGTGAATTTCTCCGGGTTTAACGAGTACTGATCAGAACCCCTAATGACCCGCTCTCTGCTTGCCATGTCCCCGCTTCATTGGCATGATTTGGAAGCATTTGACTCATATTTTAGTCACCGTTTGGTTGTTCCACCATCTGAGCCATTAGTCTGAAAAAAGAATCAGTGCAGCTCCAAGTGACAGCCATTTATTCCACGTTCACAGACTTTTCCCAGCTCTTCCTTGCAGGCTGGCTGCTGGAGAAATCACCCCCACACACCTACCTCTTCCTTTTTCCTGACTGTGGGCCTGTCCACCTGCACACACTTCTCTCAGCAGCCCGAGGGAGGTTTCGTGCTGGTAGCTGTGGAGTCATCTTGTCTCCACATCGCCAGCGTATCTGGCCCCGCTCCTTCTACAGTCTGTGGCTTCAGGAAGCTGTCTTGTCCCTTGGAGCTATGGTGAAGACCACAAAAGATTTGTTACTTAGCAGGCGAAGAGAAATAAAGGTGTCCTCGCGTAACTACTTGTATTCAACAACAACAAAAAAACTCAGAAAAATGTACGCTGTTCTTTCACTTATCTTCTTTCTCAGATTGTTTAAGTGAATCCAAGAGCAGTGATTTTTCAAAATATTTATTGTTTATAGAAGTCACGTGAAGGGAAGACCCAGATGAAGCAAACAAATGCTGGCCTGCCTCATTATTCTCTTCCTTTGGCCTCTCTGTCAAAGCCTATGCTCCACTGAAGCTCTGAGCTGCAAGTGTGCTGGCTTCTGGAACTTGCTATTGTTGAGGAACCCCATACAAAGTGATAGTTGTTTTTATTTTTTGCTGTATTTAGAAACCCGTTTCCTAAACTTCAGTGAATCGCCTCATTATTTTTAAAAATGGATTTTGTTAAAATCGTTACAACAATACCACGTGGCCATTGAAAAAAGTCAAAGCAGCAAGCAGTTTGTGAGTAGAAATTGTCATCCTATTTTTCTCTAACCTATCTTATTCCCATTCTCCGCGGAAAGCGTGGAGGCAGTTTGGTGCTGGTCTTGCAGGCCCTTTAAACACATACATATGTATGCATACACAGAGGGTTTTTGTTTTCAGATTTATTTATATATCAGAGAGAGAGAGAGAGAGTGTGCACGCACTGGGTGGGGCAGGGCCAAGGGAGAAGGAGAGAGAATCCCAAGCAGTCTCTGTGCTGAGCATGGAGTCTGACATGGGGCTCAGTCTCATGACCCTGAGATCATGACCCGAGCCGAAAACAAGAGTTGGTTGCTTAATCAACTGCACCACTCAGGCACCTCTAGAGTTTTGTTTTGTTTTGTTTTTTAAAGACATACATAGGTTTTAAAAATGACTGATCATAGTTCGCATACTATTGTGTAATGTACAGCTTTTAATCAATAATATGTCATGAACACCATTCCATATTAGTAAATATAGATGTCTCATTTTTTAACAGCTGCTTATTACTGTTCCATAATGAGGATGTGTATCATATGCAACCACTTCCTTGTTAGTGGGCTTATTCATTTATTCACCTTGATGTAAGGCTGTGCCTCTGTGTGCCAAGCTCAGCGCAGCACAGGGAATGTATGACGGTGAGCAGAAGCTTACAAATCTAGTAGGGGAGATGGACATTAATTAAAATCACAAAACCATGTCAAATTAGTGCCCTGCAAAATATAATGGGGGAACGTAACTCAGGGAGGTCAAGAGAGGTTTCCCTGAGGAAAGACCCTTCAAACTCTGTCTGAAGATGGAGGCTTCTGGTACATTTAATTCTAGGAATTTAAGGAGGCAGGGAAGAAAGGGAGGAATGTTCTAGGGCCCTTTGGCAAATGAAAGCATGTGAGGGAGACAGGCTCAAAGGAGGGCAGTGGGGCTGGGGTGGGAGCAATGGAAACAGGTGTCGTAAGATGAGGCTGCAGGCAGGCTGATGAGGCTGATGATACGGAAAGAGAAATGGACAGGATAGAGAGCTCTGCAGGAGGCAAAAGTGGAAGGACTTGGTG